CTGCTTCAATCAGATACAGCCCTGAGCTTTTTAAGTGAGTGTTTCATGAAATAAAGCTTTCATGGAATTCATTACCTTCATGACTGATTCAACCTTATTTATTTGTCAGAGGAACGTCTGCAAGAGGACCCAGGCAGGTAAAAGTCACCTTTCTATGCGTGTAGAGCAGCCACACACCCTTCCTTTTCCTCTCCTCCCAGTCACTTTGCTGACAGTTTCAGTTTTGATTTATTTCCACTTTAACGTCTTTTGAGACAATAAAGAAACCTGAGGTTCATTTCCTTGGGCTTAATTAGAAGTTCCTAACTAGAGCATGATTTCTGCTAAATCTTTACCCCATTACCTTTCCGCCGTTTAATGGTGCCATTAATTACTTCAAATCCAATCTCAAAATTTATTTTTAAAAAATTGTGCTTGCAATCTATTTCAGATCAGAAATACTGGCGTGTCTTCTGTAAACACTTACATTTTTAAAACTTGTCATAACAGAATAATATATGGCTGTAATATAGACATTGAAAAATTGAAGAGAATTCTGCCAATTGAAATGAATTTCCCCAAATCTTGTATATAATTAGCATGCTTATATAGAAACAATTTAGATAAAGGACACAATTAAGTAATTTTTAACTTTATGAGTCATAACATTAAATCTCTTCATCATGACGTTCTATTCAATGCCATTTATCACAGTGTACAAATACAAGTGTTGGTTATATCAATATATAAAAACACATAGTTTTGTTCTTAATTTCACTTTAATGATTTCTGTAGGTTTTTTATTTACAAGCAAATTTTTCCTTCTATATTTGAGGCTGAGAGTCTGATAAAAACATTGTCTTAGGACTTCTCAGGAGATAATAGGACCCTGAACCTCTTCCATTTTTATGAGGTCCTTAGTATTTACACAAATAGTAATAACAGAAATGCCAAAGGTGGTTATAAGAACTGTGAGGTGTCCCAAAAGTTAAAACTGAGCCTAACTCATTTATCACATTAATAAACAGTACATCAGCTCCCTCATAGGTAACTAAATGTGAAGGGCACTAGCAGAGTGAGGCTCTGCACCAGAAGACGTGAGCCTCTAATGGGCCTTGCCACACATTCTTTGTTGCTTACAACTAGTGTTAGAGCAAATTAGATCACCTCTCTCCAGGGAAAATGTTCCCTGGCCTTCAGGCTTCTGAGTATCGGAAGAAAGACAAGAAAGGAGCCTATGGTGGAAAGGCTTGATATATCTGTATGTTCTTTCCTACCTCCCCATGCAGCCAATGGCTCAGGAATGGAAGAAAGTATGGTTTAAAAAAAATCAAGCTGCTATTACATGTCTTAAATGACTTATCTGCATAGACAGAAACTTCTGGAATATATCAGAGTATTCACCTGTGTTGAGGTAAGATGGCATAACCTTAAGCTCTGCATGCTTCCAGATCACGGATGACTGAAAGAGCAGTAGCTGGTGAAGACCACAAGCAACTCTCCCCAAGGCGACGGGAATTCTATACCTAAAAAGAAAACCCCAACACAGGGTCACAGATACACCCAATACATCATTCTGTAGACATTTTCTGATGCTGCTGTGGTGGTTTGATTTTTGTCAAGAAGATAGAAAATGAAAATTATTTTTATTTACTAATTCTGATCAGAAAAATAAGCCAGGAAAATGGATGGCATTTATTAGATTTTAACTGAATGGAGCAGTTCTTTCTAATCAGAATTATATAGTAAAGGTAAAACACTAACTTAAAGTGTATTCATTTTACATTGTTATGCTTTTTTTTATATGTTTAATTCAGGATCTACAGGGTCTCACTACATAGATCAGACTCGTAGTGATTCTCCTGTTTTCAGCCTCCTGAGTGCTGGGATTACTGGTGTGTGCCACCATGCCCAGTTTCAACCGCTGTCTCAGTGCACTTTGGGGATGGGGCAGGCACAGCACACCACGGATGCAATGGAGGCCATTGCACTCTGCCTAAGCAGGCGCTTTAGTCCACTGAGCTATCTGGCCGGCCCTGTTATGCATAAATTAAATTGCCAAGAAAAATAAACTATTTTGTGTATTGGAAGCTTTTTCCAATACTTTTTATTAATTTTATTGAGAAACAAATAATAATGAGACAGTTTCAGAACAGGTTAGCAAGGCAGTTACAATAATTAATACATTGCATACTGTTATCTCCATGGTAGTTATTCGTAGTACAAGATGCAGACATGATATCCTGTCTAAACACTATTAGTACAAATCTTTCTTCTCATTGCATTAAGAGAAAGTAGCTGTATATCTATCCTAACTATTTTGTATATATAGATACAAAATGGTCCTTCATTTATATCCCCTTTTGTGTTTAGTTTTGTCGGAGATGGGTAATCCATTGCCATTTTAAATACTGTAGGTGCGTGAATTCAGCAAAATAATTATTTTCCAATTTTCATTTTTTAAAGAAAGTGAGAAAGAGGGCCAGCAAGATAGCTCAGCAGACTAAAGTCATTGCTTAGGCAAGCTTGTTTAGGCAAGAGCAAGTAGGGATCCTCAGCACCACATGCTGTGCCAGGCCCGCCCCCAGGGCGGGCTAAGCCAGCCAGAGTCCAGGGCAGTGGCTGACGCTTGTCATCCCAGCACTGAGAAGGATGAAAGCAGGAGGATCACCACGTGTCCAAGCTGCGTAGTGAGATTCTGCAACAACCAAATACATTTTAAAAAAAGAAGAAAGTGAGATAAGTGAATGTTATTTCAAAATCTGCCTACATACCCTGAAACATTCACAACTGTATGGAATTGTTAATCTTCTCAGTTCTCCAGAATCTTATCATACTATCTCTATATCTACACACTAATAAGCAACTGTAGGGCAGGAAATGCTTCTGCTTTTCTTTTTCTTCTTTTCAATATCGCTGTGTTCCCCGAGCCATTTTGTAGATGTTCCATAATTTTTACATGTGGATGCTCAGAAAACAGGAGGTCTCAGGAGCAAGGAGTGTATGAATTCGTAAGTTCCTAAAATTCCTTATTGACATAAGGTTCTCAAGGGAGACTCCAACCAAAAATAAAATCAGCAAAAGCAAAGTAATACATGTCATCCGGCCAAAGAATGCTACAATCCAGACATTTCTGTAAGCTTCCAGAAAGAGCAATGGCTTTAGTCCGTTCTGTATCCTCTTCTACACAGAGAACAAAAAAATACACAACTTTCTTTTCTCTTAAAATGAAAAATCAGCTAGGTAAAGGACTTCGGGATCTAAGTGAAGGGTTTTATACATAAGCAAATGCCTCGAAATTAACAACCAATCAAAATGTTCGGTTTCTATACAACACTGCAGACTCTTCCAGTTTCAAGGGATAGAAAATTAAACCCACACTGCCCCAAGCCAAAAGTGAATTTATTGATGCATGTGTGAGAAATATTTAAAGATACAATTTGTTTCAGCAATAACTCGATTTTAGAACTCAACAATCTGGATTTTTCCTTCACCCAGGCTGGCCTCCTTAAACATTAGCTTCTTTCCCAACTTCATATGGGGACCTAAAAGCGCTAAACTCAAATCTTCCCAGTGCAAAGTCTAGCAGATGGTCCACTTCCATAACGACAGTAAAGGGTCGCAGACGGGTGCTTCCTTGCAGTTGGCAAATCTTGTCACATACTACTTAGGCTACACAGACAAACACAGAGCTTCTACTGGCCAGACCTGAGTGGCGGGCAACGACGGGCAGCACCTGCCAAAATGGGGCAGGAGTGGGAGGCTGCTGGATCCCCCCAAGGAAGCCGGCGCGTTGTTTCCACAAACAGCAATCAATGCTGGGAAACAAAGGCGCAAACGTCCACAAGTTAACCTCAGCAGTTCTCCCTAACAGAAACTCTCTGGTGTCGTTACTGGAACCAAATGAGATTCTTGAGAAACCATTCGGCTTTCAGCTTTAATCACACTAGAGCTTTGCAGAGCACAACCTCACACCCTGAATCCAAATTGCATTCCCGTTTGTCTTCAAGGGCTGGAGCACACGGGCTTTTAGGAAGCTGGCCAAAGGGAGCTCCCGGCTTGCAGCCCGGCAGCCGCCTCCGCTCCGCGCTGCCCCGTGCGCGCCAGGCGCGGGATCGCGACCGAGGGCACGCGTGGGCGCCCACCTTCCCGGCGCCGCGGGGACCCGCGCCCGTTCCCCTGGCGGCGACGCTCTGCTCCTCCGCGGCTGCCTCGGTCTCCCGCCGGAGGGCATTCGGAACAGAGCCCGGGGCTGGGGCGGGACCCCGGGCGGGCTCCCCAGGGCCCGGCGGATGGGGCGGCTCTCGTCCGCTCCGCCTCCGCCCCTCCCCGGCGGGCGCGCGCG